CCTCAGGTGCCCCATGGTAGGGACAGCCCTGGTTGTGAGGGCCTTTATTACCACAGTCTCTGCCCATCTCCAGTAGCATGTCCACAGTCTCTGCCCATCTCCAGTAGTATGTCTACAGCCTTGAGTTGCACATTCACAGTCTCCAGTAGCATGTCCACAGTCTCCAGCTATCTCCAGTTGAATGTTCATAGTCACTGACCATCTTCTGTATTATGTCTTCAGTCTTGAGTTGCACATTCGCAGTCTTCAGTAGCATGTCCACAGTCTCTAGCTATCTCCAGTAGCATGTCCACAGTCTCTGCCCATCTCCAGTAGTATGTCTACAGTATTGAGTGGCACATCCACAGTCTCCAGTAGCATGTCCACAGTCTCCAGCTATCTCCAGTTGAATGTTCATAGTCACTGACCATCTTCTGTATTATGTCTTCAGTCTTGAGTTGCACATTCGCAGTCTTCAGTAGCATGTCCACAGTCTCTGACCATCTCCAGTAGTATGACTACAGTCTTGAGTTGCACATCCACAGTCTCCAGTAGCATGTCCACAGTCTTTGGCAGTCCCTATCTGCAGTCTCTGGCAGTCCCTATTGAATTTATACACCAATTACATAAATAAAATGCAGAAGTTCCATCATTGGAGTCTGCACACAAAGCCCCGTCTCTGCTGGAGGTCTTCTTTAATCAACAGGTTACCCAGATTCAAATACTTCATACTACACGGTTTGTCCAATCTACGTAAAAATCAGCATTTCGTCTTCAGCGAAGGCTCTTCCAGCTGTGAAATGGGGTCAAAGTCGGCACAAATAAAACACGACTTTCAATTTAATCCCATCAGCCATCTTGTGAATGACACGAGGGCCCGTTGTAAGCTGTCAAATTAGCAAGACGTCCCCAAGTGCAAGGTGTTGTGCTCTGAACAAGCAAAGCCCCGCGACATAATGACCTTAATTTTGAATGCTTTATTGAATTAATTGCAGTTAATTATGTGTCTGTAGCGGGAGGCTTGGGAATGTTAAGACGCTCTGTACAGATAACAGGGGACCAAAGAATACTTTTTTATTGGCTCATTAGGCCCTGCAGTGTTAAAGCAAAAAGGAAACCATTATTGCAAGGCGGAGGCTGAGCTCTCCTACTGAAAATGCTTTATGTCTGGCTGTTCTTTTGACCCAATACTTTGAAGTCCCTGCACCAGTGTGGAGAGTTCCAACCTTCCTCTGACTTTATTTACTACGTGCAAGTAGATAATGGCTGTCCTTGTATTTGCTTTCATTGCAGGCTTTGTTTAAAGTCCAATTGATCCTTCAGTTTAAATCATCTAAAAACATTCCAGGTACATCAAAACATTGTGCAAAATCTCACAATTCATTTTCTTTAGAAAGCAGCCACAGCCAGAATAGCAAAGCCTGTCCCCTGCCAGCATACTGCAGAAAAGGATCCTCTGTTTGGAAGTAGTAGTCTCTCTACAGAAGAGCGTTATGCCCTCCAAGTCTTATAGCTCTGCAATCAGCAGAGGGTGCGTCAGACCACTGCTTCCACACAGAGAGGAAGGGTACTTCCCAACAGCATGCTGGCAGGGGACAGGCTTTTCTACTTAGGCTGTGGCTGTTTTCTAAAGAAATCGAACTGCAAGACTTTGCATAGATTTTGTCTTGATGTGCCAGGAATATATTTGGCTGATTTAGAATGAGATTCAGTTAGGTTTCAAAGCTCAACTCCAGCAAAAAATGGTCCATTATGTTTCAAATAGAGCAGTAAAAAGTTAAATGCTTTGATTTTTATTACCAGATTTTTCCTTACTTCCTGTCTGGTAAAACCAGTGTCACCGTGACAGCAAATGAGGAGCGATCTGCTGCTTGCATTTGTGAAAATAAAAGAATAAATATGAATACTGACCTTCAATTCAGAGCTGCTCCATCCCTCCAACTCCCTCCGCCCCCCGCAGTACTCCTTCTCCACCACTAGATGTCCTCAGTCTTCTAGGTTGAATGATGGACAACATTATTTAAGCCACTTCTTCTGACCCCAGGCTGTATGGATCTGCCGTCATCACACATGGGCCCACAGTACTCCCGTGCTGAGGGTAGCTCAAATTTCATTGCATAAGTGTCACTCACTCCGGGACCCGAGTAAAAAGAGAAAGTGCTCATAATGTCATGATGACTGCAAGGAAAAAGTTGGATCTGAAGGGGGTCTTAGATAGGGGATGGAGAAGCTAGAGTTCTGCTTTAAGCCCATTGAGACTGCTCTGCATATTTATTTTGGCACAGTAAGAATGGTGGAATGGGAACGGTAGGGCTGAGTAATGAAAATTCTCACATACTTTATGTAATGTGAGTTATCACCGTAATGTCAACTGTGAAGGAAACATCATTCCTTAAGTCAGCCGTGATGGCAAAGATAGCAAAAGATCGTATGCTCTCTCTTTTGCCTATCACCGCTCCGATGTTGTTGATGGAATTACTATATCAGTATTTTACTAGAGGCCTTTATCCAGCGCAGGTCGTGCATTTTCTCCTTGCCTAATGCACTTTGAGAGGAGACCCCCGACTGTTCCCAGCGGAGCCGTGATTTTCACCAGGCAGAGCGCAAAGAGGTTTCATGTCAGAGGAAGCTAATCTGCGGTTTTACGAACATTAACGCTCCCCAACTACAGAAAATGACTATAGATTAGAAGCAGCTCCGCTGTAACAGACTCTGCTCACACCGGGGAGCAATGTGTCATACTTACAGAGAGAGTGTAAAAGCTCTTACAGTATTTACTGACAATTTGCTGGCCAAAACATTATGACGTGGCCTTTTAGTGGCCAATTTGTTCAGCCGTCACTAGGGGGTCGAAAGTGATGTGTGATTTTTTGGTTCTATGCATCTGAGCACAAGCGCAAATCCATCCAAGTATTAAAGACCAATTCTGGCTGTTATTTTAAATATTTATAGTGTGTGTATATATATATATATATTTATATCTTATTCCTACAGCAGTATTTGAAATAATAAAAAAAGCATCTCTCTTCTGCAATACTCTTCTTCTCTTCTGCTCAGTTCCCTGCTATTGTTTGATTCCACCACTAGATGTACTCAGTCTTCTAGGTTCAGCGACATCCTGGAGGACATATTGTGATGCTGAGAGTCATGGGACAGCCCCTTGAGGGGGCAACAGCACAGTGCCTGCACTCACAGTGTACTCATGCAAAAATTGGTGCAAGCCAGGTTTATTTTTAAACAGCCCCCCTGCCCTGTAGGGCAAAATGATTTTTAGTAATATTTGTGTAATCTCAACAGAATAATTATCAGAAAAGAAACATGAATGAAAACTGTAGTTCCACCCTCACATTGTTTTTTCAGTATATAAATACCCCCATTACATCGGTGGTCAGTGAGAAAGGCGCTCCCTTACATCAATGGTCAGTGGGACAAACGTCATGGTCAGTAAGAGAAAGGCCCCTTTTAATTGGTGGAAAATTGGTGGGGAAAAGGGCTCCCACTCATTAGCGGCCAATGAGAGAAGGCACACTTACCTTAGTGGTCAGTGAGAGAAATTACACTTATATTGGTGGTCAGTGAGAGAAGGGATACTTACATTGGTGGCTAATGAGAGGAAGGACACCTATGTTGATGGTCAACGAGAGAAGGAACACTTATATTGGTAGACAGTGAGAGAAGGGACACTTATATTGGTAGACAGTGAGAGAAGGAACACTTATATTGGTAGACAGTGAGAGAAGGGACACTTATATTGGTGGTCAATGAGAAAAGGGACACTTATATTGGTAGACATTGAGAGAAGGGACACTTATATTGGTAGACAGTGAGAGAAGGAACACTTATATTGGTAGACAGTGAGAGAAGGGACACTTATATTGGTAGACAGTGAGAGAAGGAACACTTATATTGGTAGACAGTGAGAGAAGGGACACATTATATTGGTGGTCAATGAGAAAAGGGACACTTACATTGGTTATTATGAGTAAGAGAAGGGACATTTTTATTGATGGTCAAGGAAAGAAGGGACACTTACATTGGTGGTCAGTGAGAGGAAGGACACTTATATTGGTGGTTAGTGAGGGAATGGACTCTTACATTGGTGGTCAGTAAGAGAAGGAACAGTTACATTGGTGGTCAATGAGAGAAGGGGCACTTACATTGGTGGTCAGTGAGTGGAAGGACACATACAATGGTGGTCAGTGAGGGAAGGGAAACTTATATTGGTGGTTAGTGAGGGAAGGGACTCTTGCATTGGGGGTCAGTAAGAGAAAGAATACTTACATTGGTGGTCAATGAGAGAATTGGCACTTACATTGGTGGTCAGTGAGGGAAGAGAAACTTATATCAGTGGTTAGTGAGGGAAGGGACTCTTACATTGGTGGTCAGTAAGAGAAGGAACACTTACATTGGTGGTCAATGAGAGAAGGGACACTTACATTGGTGGTCAGTAAGAGAAGGAACACTTACATTGGTGGTCAATGAGAGAAGGGACACTTACATTGGTGGTCAATGAGAGAAGGGGCACATACATTGGTGGTCAGTGAGTGGAAGGACATCAATCTGCCACAGATAACTGCTCAAAGGACACCCACCAACTCTGGAGGAACCCTGGTTGATAAAGACTGCTCTGGAGTAACAGTGCCACCCTGCTTTTTTTTCCCCATGACAACACCATCCCATTATATGAAGGGTGGTGATTGTGGCAAAATGAATCACTCAGCATTTACCAGGTTCCTTAGGTGGCAATAAGACTGCTCTGGAATAACAGTGCCACCCTGCTTTTTTTCCCCATGACAACCCCATCCCATTATATGAAGGGTGGTGATTGTGGCAAAATGAATCACTCAGCATTTACCAGGTTCCTTAGGTGGCAATAAGCGGCAACAAGTAGAATGTTGCTCTTTGCACCACATTGTTTCCGAAATAACCCCCGTCAACTTTTTTGCAGCTGAAACATATCCACCCGCATCTCGATGTTAGCTTTTTATCTTTAATAAGCCGTTTCTTTTTATCTCATTTAGGTCTGTAAGCACCGGGAACTTTTTACGCTGGCTACCACATCGCCATGGCAACAGGAAGACGGGCAAAAAAAATAAAAAATAAAAAGTGTTTACCGGAAGACTGCAGTACACAGTTATTAAAAGACCGGGCTTCAACTGCTCCAGACTCTCTGTTTAATTTGCAACCTCAATTATTCTCTAAAACGGTACACCAGTCCTTGACAGCCTCTGATTCTGCATTCTTTGTATTAATGGGATCGCTGCTGGAGTGCCGCGCGCTACAAGAATGCAGCCTGAAAGACACTGGGAACAGTTGTTTGAACTTGTCCTGCTCAAGGCAGAATGCAACGATCATATCTCCCGACGCTCGCAGTTTGTTTCTACTCTATTGTACTGATGATTTACCGAACCTAAAACAGTTTTGTCTGTCAGATTTGTGTGTACGTGTGCTTCATTTTAATCCAGACCTCCAGCCCCCCCGCCCCCCACCCCTCCGAGACCACCACCCTTGGACCAGCCTGGCTTTGCAGCGGTGAGGCATTTCTTCTTCTTTCTTTTTTTTTTCCAGGCGGCATGTCGTGTGCATCGAACCAAAACACTTTTTAGAGAAGTACGCCGAAGGATCCCTTAATGGCTTCATGTTAATAAGATTACCAATCAGTATTTGACAAGGAGGCGACGCTGCAAAGGCGGGATGGCGAAAAATAACAGATTAAGGAGACATCCACGGTGCAAATAAAATGTAATAAGATGCCACTTAAACACATTGTAAGCCTGTCAGATATAATTAGAGTGCGTTAACCCCTTCCTTGGCAGAGGAGCGCCGGTTTGCAAGGCAGGCCGGTAAATAATAATTCTCCCCCGGCAGCCGAGGAACTCTCGAGGAGCTTTGCTCCGATTTGCAAACCTTGCATCATTGCATTTTGCCCGTTGCACTCACGCATTTTGCTTCAAGGATACGACTGCCTGCAAACAGCAACTTATTACCGGATGTTTTAAAGTTCCCGTAGCGCGGAGGGGCCTGCCGAGTACTTCTTAGTAACAGTCTGTGTGCGCTGTAGTGGAATAGAAGGTGTCACAATATGCAATCTTCTCTAATGTATAAACCTGCTCATGAATTTAAAGTGCAAGCTTTAGTAGCAGACATAACGCTGTGATAGGAGAGGGTAGAGAAGGTAGATGCCATGCCTGGTTCATTTCAGTGGCGGTATTAGCTTTTTTGTCAATGAGTGCACATTTTAGGATTCACATGGGCTTCCAGGGCTACACGCCACCCAGATCAGTGTATTTCTGACATCTGTCCAGACAGGACCCCTGTACAAACCAATGACAGGCTGACACTATCTGCACCTCTTCACATGTATTCACACTTGGTGCAATAACCCGGGGTTAAGGACAAATGAGCGGTCCTGTGCACGGACACTTTGCGTCCAGGGCCGCTCATCCATCCCTAACGGCTGATTATTGGTCCTATATGCGATTACATGCAAACAGTTGTAGAGCATGGCAGTCTGTTAGCGACTTGTATAGGCTGGCCGTATCTGCCACAGTACACTGATCTGGCCGGTGTATGGCCATAGACGGCCATGTGAATGAGGCCTTAATGTAGGTTGCACATGATGTTAAATTTAAACCTTTCAAATGTTATTCCTTATTTCATCTTCCTTGCATATTTTCATGAGAGTATTATATATATACTAATCCCCCGCCTCCAAGATAAGACCAGTGACAAAATAAAGCACCTACAGGTTGCATTGTTTTAACCCATTTTTGTAGACCAACATGCTTGTTAGTAAATTGTTCTATATTGCTGAGAAGAAAGCATGCATATTTAACAAGCTCCATCTACACACCCTTGGGCTATATGGGCGAATTTGTTTCCGCAGCACCATTAAACGATTGATCTCTCACAATTGCATAATGACGCAATTTAAGAAGATACTATTAGCGATCTAGCTCCTCTATAGACTTCAGTAGAAGGGGATAAATTGCTCAAAAATCACTCATTTCGGAGATTCTTGGGAAACTCTTACCACTGAAGTATACCATGTGGGTAGTCTCATGAGACTAATCTAACATCTGCCCATAATCTCCTTCATGGGCACAAAAGAGCAATTGAATTCAAATTTCCCCCCTGTAGTGCTTGGCTTAATTTAATACTATTGGGAATTTACTTTAAAGCCTGGGTATAAATTTTAAAAAAATTAACCTTGGTCCCCCCTCCACTTATTTTTCTAACATACACAATCTCATTCCCGGTCCCGCATTTTTCCTCCCTGCCAGTTGCAGTTATGGTGACCAGTCCCTTGAAGCCTCTCTTCTAGTTGGTCTCAGTCCAGTCTTCTCTCTGCCCCCTCACCAACATCATCACTTGCAATGCAGGGGCAGAGGCCACAGCATTGTACATAATGATGTAGGAGTGCCCGTGGGGAGAAGAAGGGCGGTCTACCGGCTGCTTTGGGATCATGAAGCAAAGTAAACTTTCTTTTGTATTAGATTATCCCCTAGAAAAATATCATTCATGAGTCCGGAAAGGGGAGGTGGGTAAATGTTAGTTATTTATTACCCAAAGTTCTGTTAGGTGTAATCATTTCAGCTATTTAGAATACCACTTTCACACCAAACTCAGACACAACCACATTACAGCTGTCATATACTTAACAGGGGCAGCTAATATGTAAAGAGCCCCACTAAAATACCCCAAAACCTTCATTACTGAGAAAAAGGGCGGTGCCTAATTTTTCTACCCACCTTCTATACAGCTTGGTATTTTATCAAAAGCTACAGGTGCACTTTAATTGTGCAAGTGTTACATCAGTGTGTGAGCATTGAAAATGGGATGTGTCGTAGTATAAGTGATCTACAGAATCAAGGAGAGAAGGTATTTTTTAAGCTTAAAATGATAAAAGTGAAAACTGTTTTTTCTTTGCAAATTAAAGCAGGGTCTCTGTAAGCAACCTCAGCTGGGGCTTATGTCATGGAGGATTGAGCTTTACTTTGAACCTTGTCCCAACAGGCGAAGCGACTTGGGGGAGCATAGTCATCCTAGGTAAAGCCAAATCCTTGTAGATACAATTATCGCTGAGTCCTACAAGACAGATATACAGAGCTATATGTAAAATATATAGAAAATGTATGTTCTATATTGAACATGCTTATATTTCATGGGGCAAAATATCATCTTATTTCAAAATTGGGCCATCGCGTAAACACAAAAGAAACGGCCGTCACATGTTCTGAATTGGATACAGGTGGCATTGCCCCATTGGCTGTATTGTGAGACAACCCAGAAAACTGGGGCCTACCAAATCGCTAGTAGTGGCATCACTGAGTTGGCCATTGTTTTGGCTGAACTAGTGTTTACATGATTCACATCGCATCAGAAAGTTGGATAAAAGAGCAGTGATAACAGGCAGCTACCAATCAGAAACCAGTCTATCAGTTATTGGAATCTGATTGGTTGTTGGAACATAATGTGCTTTTCATATCATCGCCATTTGCATCACTTGACTGAAGAAGCCCAAATTAGCCCCGTCTTTCAGTAAGACACTTTTATTTCAATCCGCAGAGAGACCACTGCTTCCACATAGAGCAAAGGTTATTTTATGCAGCACTCTGGCAGGGGGCAGGCTTTTCTACTCTAAAAAAAAATAAAGGCGCTGTAAGACTTCGTACGCCTTTGGTTTATATGCACCTGAAATAAATGTCGCTGATTGAAACTGGAAGTTCAGTCAAGCTTTAAATGTTCTGATTGTTACGGAATAAACGTCTTTTTGCAGAAGAGGATTATAGAGTTTATTGGCAGCCTTGTATACACTAGTTCTTTATTCCTTTGTTTTTTCCTAGCCTGTGTTCCGTCATCATACAGAAAGCACGTTGCCCCTCTGTGCATAGCTATAGAAATATATACAGACAAAAAGTCAAATAGCATATTTTTATCAGTCTTTGCAAAGTGCGAGTCTGTGAAGTTTTATCTTTATTTTTGGTGAGCCGGTCTGACGCGGAAAACAAATGACACGGAGATGGATACAATATATAACTTCATGACCTGTAAAAATAGCATTCAGGATCACACCAAATTTTTATAGAATGTTGTATTTGTGACGGTTGGGTGACTGAGCTTTTTCCAAGCCCATGGGTTTCGAGGGTTAAAAAAAAAAATCGCAAACATTCGAAGAGCTTCTTTTATGTATGCAAGATGTTTTAATGCACAGCAGCCAATCAGGAGTTAGATTTGAGCAGTTTTGTATTGTCAGAATTTCTATCTGAGTGGCTCCTGTTACAGATAATGTTATTTGCATCTGCTTACTATGCTAAGGGGTCTAGCATATAATTAATTCACAGAGCCGTTTGCCCTGCAAATTTCTGAACGTTTGTAATGTGCGAATAGAGGCAAAAAGGAAGGTTCTATATATTTGTTTACAGGTTGAATGCAATACCACATTGTGGCCATTAGATGGAGCTATGGTGACTTATTTCCTATGCTTTTCACCTCCATCTAGTGGCTATAATGCGGTATTACATTACATTACATTCAACCTGAAAAGAAAATATACCAACTACGTTGGTTTTTGACAGAAATTGGACAGAACAGGCATGGGCAGAGAATTGCAGGGCGAAGGGCTCTGCAAATTGTTTATAAATACACCCCTTAACCCTAATGTGTATCCCATATAACAGGAATGGAAAATGACAAGTGTGTTGTCCACAGCAATCAAATGCTTGCTTTCGTTTTTATTCTGCAATAGAAAAATGACAGCTTGAATCTGATTGGCTACAAAGGGCAATGACATCTCCTCTTCTATTTCCCCCTGGTTCTTTAGCATGAGTGTCACAGTTCATTAAAAGTCTGCTATGCCTGAAACTGGCATTTTAGATTTGCACCTTTGCTGGCAAGCTGAATCAAATGCTGGCTTCTTATTTCTCTTGGGGACTCCATTGAGAGGAATGGAGAGGACTCCAATGTGAGATATCTCCATGGGGATTCCCAGCTCCACTCAAACAGCCAAAGCACCGAGCTTGTTTTCAAGCTCACCAAAACATTTAAGCCCCAATGAAGTGGGAGTGTCGTGTCCCCGAAACATGTTGGCTGTTTTACGTCTTCTTGTTATAAGCAAACAATCATAATAAAATGCTTTGGACACTTAGATCTTTGGTCTGGCACTCTCATTACACCTACACTAGGATTGTATTGCTTCTTCATCCCCATGAGGGACATTTCCCCTCACTTCCTGTTCTCCCTTTCAAATCGACAGGAAATGGGGAGTTTTAACCTCATTTCCTGCCCATGTGACGAATGCCAGGCAGGAAATGGAGAGAAATCTCTTTTATGGGGACACAGCTAGTGTTTAAAACCCTTCGCTACTCTCCACAAATATAAAAAGTTGAATAGAGTTCCATTCCCGCATTGCATGGCACCGCTTAATCTATCATTATTTTACTTTTTTGTAGCTGTCCAGAAATTTCTGAGATGAATATTTTTTAATGGTGTTGTCCAGATCATTGGAATTTGTTTTGGTGACTTAGAACTCGCGTATGCTAGTCAAATGCTTTGTAAAGATTAAACACCAATATAATAAAATAATTACCTAATGTAATTCCCTTTTTCCTGCAACTTCCAGTGTGCGTAGGAATAGATCCTCCGATTATTATTAGATGTAGAGGTAACACTGGTCGTATAATAAAGCTTTTCTAGTTGGGAGAATTTATGTGTCATAAGTTACATTTTGAGCATTTGAGATACCTGGATAGGAAACAATTGGCACTATGAGTGCAGAGAGACAGCCATGCTGACCAATCACAGAATGCTTTTAGTAAGTGGGTGCTGATAGTAGTACCTGCCTACGAGGAGGCACTTCACCCATTTCTAAACCCTGTGAGGAGGCACTGCACCTTATTGTAACCCTTTGAGGAGTTACTGCACCTGGTGGTCAGTAAGAGAAGGAACACTTACACTAATCCTAGTCCTATGAGAAAGCACTGCACATAATCCTAACCCTATGGGGAGGCACTGCACATAATCCTAGTCCTATGAGAAGGCACTGCACCTAATCCTAACCCTATGGGGAGGCACTGCACCTAATCCTAGTCCTATGAGAAAGCACTGCACATAATCCTAACCCTATGGGGAGGCACTGCACATAATCCTAGTCCTATGAGAAGGCACTGCACATAATCCTAGTCCTATAAGGAGGCACTGCACCTAACCCTAACCCTATGGGGAGGCACTGCACATAATCCTAGTCCTATGAGGAGGCACTGCACATAATCCTAGTCCTATGAGAAGGCACTGCACATAATCCTAGTCCTATGAGGAGGGACTGCACATAATCCTAGTCCTATGAGGAGGCACTGCTCCTAATCCTAGTCCTATGAGGAGGCACTGCACATAATCCTAGTCCTATAAGGAGGCACTGCACATAATACTAGTCCTATGAGAAGGCACTGCACATAATCCTAGTCCTATGAGGAGGCACTGCACATAATTCTAGTCCTATGAGGAGGCACTGCACATAATCCTAGTCCTATGAGGAGGCACTGCACCTAATCCTAGTCCTATGAGGAGGCACTGCACATAATCCTAGTCCTATAAGGAGGCACTACATATAAATGCTTATTACACTATAATATGTAATAAATTCCTTCACTTTTATTTAGAGATGGTCTGATAATTGCCCCAAAATTATCAGCGATGTACATTAATGCAAAACTAGTTTGGGTCAGGTAACCATGGTTTGTCATTACCATCAAGAGTCTAATACTCTCCCTTATTAAAACGTAATTTTCCTCATTTTTTTCCAGCCTCTGATTTCTATATATGACACCAGCTGGTTGGGGATGCTATAAGGTCGTGCTGACATTTAGTGGCCAACTCCATCCTACATTGGTGAGATGGTTGTATGGTGGCTGGAAGGTCATAACTAACGTTCCTTCTTTCTTAGTTGGTCATATAGTGTACCTCCACTAAAATTTACAGATTTGCCTAACTACCTCCCTACTACTAAACCAAATAACACCATCGGGCACCCCTACAGGATTTTCCACAATGTTATCAAATAATAGTGGAGTTCAGTTAGGAGTTAAACATGGTAGATCACCAGATCCAAACTTAGCAAACAGGATCACAGCAGCAGTTCATGTAATCGGCTGGGGGTGCAAATCTCAAAGAGTTTTGCTATCCCCAGATTTGATTAACTCTGTTTAGTTTTAAATTGGACCTTTTACTTCAAGTCTACATAAGTACAACTCTTAGACGTCATAATATACAGCAACAGTCCTTGCACTCAACTGCAGTGCCATTGTCTAGACAGAGATCATGTCATCAGTCTGCTGCAGGCAGGAGGAACGGTTTGCTCGGTCGCCTCTCCCCCAGTGATCACTCAGATTGTACATTGTAACTATGCAGAAAGTCAAAAGGCGAGAGGCTGCAGCAGAGGCTGATCTGTTTAAGACATTTGTGAATATAGCCAAACACTGCATAGGGACAAGGATTTATGTGATTGTTTTATCTCTAGCCCAGCACGAAGCAGGTGGTGACCATGGATGATGCCTGAACAGAGATAGCTCTGTTCTTCTGAGGACAAAAACAGATGAGGGCATTGTTAAGGGAAGTGATATACTCACACAATGCTTAACATGGCAGATATACCTGATACCAGGTCCAGTTTAAGGTACCATGTAAACTAACATTTGTCCAGCTCTGCCTCATAACACAATAGTGTCCATCTTGGAAAGCTTAGGAGTAGACTGCAGATCGTCTCCTTGTGCTTTGCTGCTGCTAAGTGTACATTGTTGAAAATTATATAAAACATAAATTAATATATATTTAGAGAAAATGTTTAATAACAATTATATAACCATTACCTCTGAGAAAAAAATGTCTTTGCCTCCAAGCCCTTGACCAGAGCTGAAAGTGGAGCAAATGACATCCAAAATACAGCATTAACCAGCTGTAAAGGAAAGAGCGCACATCGTATGGTGACCACAGATACAGATTAGCAGCATCACATAGGACATCTGTCTGGGTCTACGTTGGTCATCAGTCTGAGGCTTGACAAAATTGAAGGTACATTGTCCAGAGAATAGCAACCACATTATGGGGAAGCCACCCTCAAAATGACAATTTGGGAAAAGCCAGTGTTTTTAAAATTGCCCTGCAATATTTCAATGTAGAAGTAAAAAGTTCACTTTGTGCAGAAGAGAAAGCATATACATTGTTTGGCCAAAAGTATGTGGAGCCCCCCTCCAAATCATTGAGCTCAGGTGTTTCCACTGAAAGGCGCTGTTCATGCTACAGTACACAAAAACTTTTTAGACATTTGTGCCCGTCCAGCCTTATGGCAACAGTCTGGTGAAGGTCCTTTTCTGTTTCAGCATGACTTTACCCCTGTGTACAAAGCCAGATGTATAAAGATATGGTTTGATGGGTTTAGTGTAGAGGAACTCAAAAGCCCTGAGCTCATCCCTTCTAAACACCTTTGGGACGAATTGGAATGCCAACTGAGTTAGGTCTTCTCATCCAACATCAGTACCTGACTTCGGAAATATTCTTTAGGCTATATGGGCAAAACATTACTGCAGACACACTCCAAAATCTTGTGGAAAGCCTTCCCAAGTAAGTGGAAATGGTTATAGATGCAAAGTAGGGCCAACGGCATATTAATGGCCATGCTATTGTAATGGGATTGGGCGACTTTAATGTAGTATGGTCTAACACAAGATAAAGCGTTGTATTAATGAAATGAATTGTCTGAATGGGCCCTGCGTTGGGCATACTTAGAGATTTTAAAGCTGAACTCCAGCTTTCTCTTCACCATGTGATTCCATAATAATTTTACAGGTTATACGTACTCCTAAATCTGTCCATAGCCTAACCGCGAAACGTATCCTTTAACCTTGACATGCATTTCACCCTAAAGTAACTTCTAAACCTAACCCGTATGGCAAAAAAGAGAGTTCCTTTCAAAAAATGAGTCTAACGAAATCCAAAAGTCTAAATAATACTGAAAACTCAGCTCCTTAAATTATCCCACCAAGACCTCATGATCCACCTTCAGCTATTGCAGGATAGGTAATCGTGAAGCTTCACACTGAATAGGGAAATTTTACCCTAATGTAACTTCTAAACTTAACCCAATGGCAAAAAAGGGAGTTCCAAAAAATGTAGTGTAGCAAAGTGCACAATTCTAAATAATTCCTGCTAAAAACTCAGCACTTAAAATTGTCCCACCAAGACCTCATGATCCATCTTCAGCTGCTGCAGAATAGATAGTACTGGGGCTCCATATTGAATAGGGAAATTGGACAGCCTAAGCTAGGACATGTTCCACCAGAAAGCCCTTCCTTTTACCAGTTTCCAGCTTGTGGTTCAATGTCTGTGCTTTTTCCTATCCTCCCTGGCTTCGGCATCAATAGTTCTGATTAGATGGCAACCCAAGCCAACCGAGAGCAGTACTGTAATTCAGAGTGGGGAAGGTGGGATATGGTGGCTATGGATAGAGGAGAGCTTCCTAGTAGAGAACAGGGCACTGTAACTCCTACTGAATGTGACTCGGGAGTGTTAAAACCAACTTATTGGCAATTTTACCTAAATGGAGTCCTTGAATGACGTGCTATTTTATTACATTATATCTGGACAACTAGATGCCAAAATGTAACATTCATCTATGCACTTGTACAAGAAGCAGGAGCGGCAGTAAGCTACCTTCATACCCATGCCGTCTCAACCCCTCCTTGCTTCATTATCATGCAATTAATCTTTCAGACGTCTCTGCCTCACCTCAATCAATTGAATAAAATCAGTTTCTTGCTAACCCGGAAAGCTGTGCAATTACTGTCTGCGTCTGTCTCCCAGGCCGCTGAGAAAACGAGGCGCTGACCTCCAACCGGCCCATGTCTGTTGTTCTGAGAGGTTAACATAACCCACCCGAGTACAATGCAAACTCTTTTACATTTTAAACAGGAAAGAAATTAATTTTTCAAAGCTGCATCACAAAGGGATCATCAACTCAAAAATCAGAGGCAGCCCTGTCAGGGGGTTTGTCAACTTTCGGCTTATCAAAACTGTGAGAAACATGTGAAACTTCTGATGCAACGTGGCTGCCAAAATAAGTCACATCAGTGCCCTGAATAAGGAAAAAGTGAATGTTTTTATAACTGAATAAAGCTGTAAATTAGTTGATTTTGTTTTTGGTTTGTTGGGGTGGGGGATGGGGGTTAAAATTTAGTTGATTTTGCTCAGTATCACCACCATAGAACATAACCTTGATCTGGTTTTTTGGAGCACACGTGGTTTTAGACACTGGTTCCAGGCCCTATTTGCTAAACTGCTTACTGTTCCTGAAGTGTAAATAAGCCTTTTGATTTATGATGTGGTTGCAAAGAAACTTGTAATTTATTTGTGAATTGCTGAAATAAAGGAACTCTGGACTTTTACCTACAAAGTTGCTTTGTTATTGGGTCGAAATAACGCGTGAAACTTCTAAAATGCTGTTTGTGTTTTTGGACCTTCCACACTGGACCTCAATAGGGCCATCCTAAGTTCTTAAAGCTGAGCTCAAGGCAAACAGCTGAATACATGTACATACTGTATATATTTTTTTACATTTCATTTAAGCCAATATGAACTGCTGCATTTAATTATTTTTATGTTTGCAACTAGCAGCTGACAAGTGTGAGTCTCAGGATTTCAGACTATGTTTTTTTGTGGGATTGTGAACACAAGGCTGAGTAGCAGGATCTCAGGTTACACACACACACACAGCTAAATTGTGCAAAAAGATGGTAACTTTCCTATAAAGATAGTGCTCCCTACATCTTTAGTCTACTGGAGCAGTCAACAAGGGCAGAGCTAATGCTGGGCTTTCCTATTAGACAGCCCCGAATGTACAGCACACACTGAAGCATGGAAGCCTCCGTGTATTAAATGTTCATGGGTAAAATAATGATTTTAATAAATAATTATTAAATTAATTATATAAAATACCAAGTTATAAAAATAAGAGCTTAAAGAACTA